TGTACCAAAGCCTGTCATGTTGTCCTGCTTCGCTGGAGGAGGGAAGGAGTGGAGTGTGGGCATGTGAGCCATGAGCAGGCTTGTGCACTATGGGCTTCTTGCTAAGACACGGCTCTATCAAAATGGAGCCACCTTGGGAATTCCCTGGTGGTCCAGCGGTTAGGACTTGGCACTTTCACTGCTGGGGTCCGGGTTCGATCCCTGGTCAGGGAACTAAGATCCCACAAGCCGCACACAGCCAAAAAAAAAGAAAAGAAAAGAAAAGAGCCACCTTTAAACAAGAAAGGGAAAGAAAAGGAAGCCTTTACCACAGGTATTAAAAAGGAGTGACCACAAAGAAGACAAAAGAAAGAAAGAGAAAAGGCTATGCTCCATGTAAATGCCTTGTAATCCTTTCCTGTCAGTGATAGCCTAGTGGTTTCTAGGTGACGATTAATTACTCTTCCGTAAGACTGCTGCAAAATGTAGAGATACTAAACGTCTAGGATGCAACGTGAATATGATGATCAGATTCTTTGACTTGGGTAGCCATGGAACCTGACCTTCCCCTGCTGCCAGCCACCACCTGAGTGTGCCAGCCAGCACAGTGCTTGGGGAAGAAGAATGAGGCTGGTTCAGTTTCTTGGTGCCCAGTTCTGAGTTCCTCCCACAGACCCAGTGATGCACTAGAGCTGGCTATAAACGGAGGGAATTTGGCCTGAGAAAAGCCTGCAGAATTCGGGAGTTTGAAGAGCTGGTCAGCAACCATGTTTTGATACATTTTCAAAAACAGTCTTGGTAATTCTAGATTGAGCAGGACCTTTCTCTGGCCCCTAAACAATAGATGCATGAAATTCAATTGCTAGGTTTTTTGAAAAGAAATATGATTCTTAATAAACAATTTGTGCCTTTTGCCAGCCAAGCACTCTCTCTCTTTGTCCTCTCCAGGCAACATGATGGCAGCCGTTTCCACTCAGCCGTTACATATCACTCGAGCACTTCACCATCCGCTGAGGCAGGGAAGCATCTCGAATGTAGCAGTGGGAGCAGAATTCAGGTCTTGGCTTGCAGCCACGGTGGCCTCTCGTGTGCCCCCCACCAATGTGGATGGATGGCTGTGAGTCAAAAGGTGGCCCTTGTCGCCGCTGAGGCCTCTTCCTGACGGTGAGTCACCAGGTCCCCCGCGTCCTCCCATCCTTCTCAGCTTTGCAGTGATTTCTGACTAGGCAATGAGAGGCCCCTTTGCCACCCAGCCACAAGACCTTCTCCTGGTGAGCATAAAACCTCAGGGAGGTAGAAATGTGTTTTTCTCCCAATGGCTGCGGCAACCCTGGTCCAATCACTTGTTCAAACACATGTGTAAAAATGCCTGGAAACGGTGATGATGTAGTTGATAACAATACCAGTTAACATGCACTGAGTGTTCATTTTGTGGTAATGACTCACATGAAATACCTCACTGTGCTTTCACAAAATAAATAAATAAAATTTTAAAAACCTTGTTCATGGAGTCACAGTCAACAGAGCAAGGGCTGTGGAAGCAGCCACAGCTGGAGTAAGGTCCCTGCTGTGTCACTAAAGAGCCCAATGACCTTGAGAAAGTCCTTCAACTCCCTTGGGCTTCTGTCTCATGGGACAAATGGGGAGACTTTCGCCCACTCTGCCTTACTCCTACACATAGTGCAAGTTTACAGAGACATACCAGAGACAAGGGATGGAAAAGCTCATCAGAAACTGGAATGCACTCTCCACAAGACAAGGCTGGGACAGACTCTGGTCCAAGGTCATACAGCTGGTTCATGGCTGGCCTGGAACGAAGGCCCGGGTGTCAGAACTCCCAGGCCAAACAGACTGAGCTGCTGTTCTGCTCAGCTCAGTGGCGCATAGAACCACCAGCAGCTGGCATGGAAGCCTGCTCCACACAGGAACTCCTCGTGGCTGACTTTCGCATCTCCTCGGCCTCACGCATCACCACCAGCACAACTGCCTCTGTCTAAATTTTTAACACACACACACACACACTCTCTCTCTCTCTCTCACTGTCACACACTTGTGCATACCTTCTCTCACACAGATTATCAGAATTCACAGAACTGGTCCTGTAAGCAGGGATTTGTCAACATCCTGGGAAATTCTGGCACCCTCCGGCTATGACTACTCTTCAGGATGAAGATTTCTGGAGGTGGGTAGGAATTAAGGAAATAAAAGAAATGCCCTTGGGATAACCATGTGTTTCTCTAGCAATTTTTTTTTCTTTTTTCGGTACGCGGGCCTCTCACTGCTGTGGCCTCTCCCGTTGCGGAGCACAGGCTCCGGACGTGCAGGCTCAGTGGCCATGGCTCACGGGCCCAGCCGCTCCGCGGCATGTGGGATCTTCCCGGACCGGGGCACGAACCCGTGTCCCCTGCATCGGCAGGCGGACTCTCAACCACTGCGCCACCAGGGAAGCCCCTCTCTAGCAAATTTTATTTCATTTTGGTGAATACCATAAGATCCAGTAATTCTGACTCTTTAAAAAGTGGGTTTTCTTCTGGGCTTCCCTGGTGGCACAGTGGTTAAGAATCTGCCTGCCAATGCAGGGGACACAGGTTCGAGCCCTGGTCCGGGAAGATCCCACATGCCGCGGAGCAACTAAGCCCATGCACCACAGCTACTTAGCCTGCGCTCTAAAGCCCGCGAGCCACAACTACTGAGCCCGTGTGCCACAACTACTGAGTCCACGTGCCACAACTACTGAGCCCGTGCGCCTAGAGCCCGTGCTCCACGATGAGAAGCCACCGCAATGAGAAGCCCGTGCACCGCAACGAAGAGTAGCCCCCGCTCGCCGCAACTAGAGAAAGCCCGCACACAGCAACAAAGACCCAACACAGCCAAAAATAAATAAATAAAATAAATATTTTTTTTAAAAAAGTGGTTCTTCTTTTACTAGACTAGATGGCACTGTGGTATCACCTTTTTGATGATCAAGAAAATCTTATTTCATTTCAAATAATTTTGCTTCCATTGGGGGCCGTCCAAGAGGCTGAACCCTCCCCTTGAGGGGGCCTGGTTATCTTATGGTAAATTTCTGAAGTAATCTGCCAGAAGACCAGATACACAATCAAGACCACAATAATAATGTGTGCCTACAGATCCTGTCACACCCTGACCTACATGTCCAAAAGGATTCTAAAAGGCACATGTGCCCTGAGGAATTCCAAACAGGGCCAGGGAGTCCACAGTGGCCAAGACTTCATTTTTATTCCTGTGCCACAGCCATGGCTGTGGAATTCAATTTTTGCCCTCAAGAGCTTTTTACATCACCACCCCTCACAAAACCTACAGGCTCTATCAGCAGGAGGGATTGTTTTCAATATTGCCAAACTGTTTAGGAACGTCTTAAACACCAGAGTCTTGTGGTGACAATGGCTTACACAATTCTCGCAACAGATTGAGGCAGCAACCTTCCTAGGGTCAAGGTTCTCTTAGGTCGGGGGAAAAAAAAAAAACGGTTAGTGCTGGAAGGGAAATGAAAGTTCAACAGATTCTCCCAGAATTCCAGCATTCAAAAAGGACACTGTAAACTGAGGGAAGGGAAAGTGAGTAGGGGGTGAGGTTTCCTCTAAATCTCAATGGTGACCAGGAAGTCGGAGCGCTCCATTCGTCTGGGGCTGGACAGAAGAAACTGCCCGGCTCTTGCATTCCAAGAGGCATCAACAAAATATGGCCGTAGCCCTCACCATGAGGGGTTGGGGAGGCAGAGGAGGGAGTGGGGAGCCTGCCCAGGGAAGCAGCCTCTGTAGCAGCAGCAGCCTCCAGGACCCTTGTGGTCACCTCGCTGGGGAGACAGAGAGCATGGCCACGTCAACGAGACTCTCCTTGTCCATTCCCCGGACTGCCTGCCGCAGCCCACATCTGTTTTAGGGAGAGTCGCAGAATGGGAGCCCTGACTGGGGGCAACTGCACCCCAAAGAGTCCTTCCTACTCCTCCCCCCTTTATGGCATCCATGACCTCCAGCAACTGGGCATTGCAGCTGGCTGGAGGAAAATGCCCTAGCTTCAAAAGCAAGTGGCTTTTCATAAAACAGCTCTTTCCGATTCAGCCCTGGGTTCATAAAGTTGGCTGGCGGCGCCCTGCTCCGGGGCTCAGAGTTTGTAAATCAGGAGAGGTTTCTCAAGACTGAGCCCCACATGGGATCCGGGGCAGCGTTCCACCTGCCCTTCGACCCGCGGGGTGCCCCTCACACTCGCAAAGCGCCGCTGATGCCCGGCGTGCAGCCAGTAGTGCGGGGCGCAAGCTGGGTACCACGAGCTCTCTCTGGGTGTCCGCAAACAGCCGCAGAGGGACATTCATTCGCCCAGGGAGAGCAGAGCCAGTGGAGAGAAAGGAGGAGGGAGGCGACAAAAGTCAGGAAAGAAGAGAAAGAACAAAAAGGGTTAAAGAAAGAACGAGAAACAAAGTGAAAGAGGAAAACGGAGGGAAAAGGAAAGAGCGGGCGGCCAGGAGTTGACCAAGATCCCAAGCACGAGAAAGCGAAAAGAGAAAAAGGCAAATAGAGGAAGCGAGGGGAAAGGCGGGGGGAGGGGAAATGCGGGAGCGGGAAAGAAGAGAGAGCGAAACGAGGCTTGGGAACCTGGGTGCGGAGAAAAGAAGCGAAAGGCTGGAGGAGCTCAGGGACGCTGCACTCAGAACATAGTTCTTTCGGGCCCTCCAGTGCGGAGTCTGCGTGCTGTACCCTGTCCCGGCGGCGGCCGGGGGGCGCTCGTCCCGGGCCTCCTGGCCGCTTCCCCAGCGCGCACTCCCAGCCGCCAAGCAGGCCAACCCGCGGGCAGAGAGAGGAGCCGTCCCAGGTCGGAACGGACGAGCTTCCTGCAGCCGCCACAGCGCCACGAGCGCGCGCGCCGGGGCGCCACCGCAGGGGCGCCGAGGTGCTCCCTGGGTCGCCGGCAGCGGCTAGCCGCGCCTCCCGGCCCTCCGTCCGCCGCGGCCCGGGTCCGCTCCCGCGCCCCAGGGCCCCGCTCCGCCGCGGGCGCGCACTCACCTGGACGGTCTCAGCCTGGCGTCGCGCTTGCTGTCCACCACGGCGGGCACGCAGCTGGTGAGCTCGGTCCAGTCGGCGTGCAGTCCGCAGCTCCAACCCGTGGAGAACCTGGAGAAGAGCCAGGTCTCCCGCTTACCCGGCCGGTGGCAAGTGCATTTCTTCTGACCCACGCGACATTCGCACGGTTGCTCCAGCTGGATGTTGCGCACCAGGTGGCGGCCGAAAGTGGTGCCTCCAGTCTTCTGGATGTGCAGGAACACGATCAGGTCATCACCCTTGATGTCGAAGTCTACCTTGCGCAGGAGGTCGCCGCGGCTGAAATTGTAACGGGGCACGAACCTCGCGGAGCTCTCATCCTCCGAGCGGTACGGGTCCGGCATCGGGGAGCTGAACGCCTGCAGGCGGAGGAGCTGGCATTCTGTGCCGGGGCACACGTATTGGAGGACGATCACGGCAAATAGGAAGAGCATCACCAAAGCCAGCAGCAGCTTGTTGGATTTCTCATCCATGTTCCCGACGCTGGGGGAAACCCAAGCTCCTTACGTCAATCCCGCAGCTCTGCCCGCGCTCGCCGTGCGCCCGTACCGCCTCCCTCCCCCTGGCGCCGCCGTAGCGCCCCTTTCCCCCTCCCCTCGGCACCGAGTACTCCACCGCGGCGGCGGCGGCGGCGGCGGCGGCGCCCTTCCCCGCTTCCTTCCTTCCCGGCAGGCTCAGCGCTGTGGCTTCTGCCGCACACACCCCCCTCCCCCCGACTCCTTCCCGCTGGCCGCCTGCCCTCTCCCAGCGCCAGAGCTCTCCGGAGCCTCTTCGCGGGGTTTCGTACCCGTGGGACCCCGCCTGACCCGGTTGCCCCACTCCTCAACTCATACCACGGGTCCGAGCCCCCGCGCGTCTTGTTCCACTCTCGGTGGCTCCGTGACTCCCATCCCCATCCTGCTTCGCCCGCCGGACTCTCCCTGGCGCTTCTGCCCCCAGTCCCCTTGGCGCGCACGCCGCCGCCTCCTCGCCTAGCCCGACTCTCGGGCTCCTTCCCCGTGCGCCCCGAAGCCCTGCTCTTGCCCGCAACGGGTTGCCCACCTTGGGGGACGCCTCAAGGGAGCTCGGAGCCAGGCGTTCGGAGTTACCCTGGGGGAAGGGGGTCCGCCGGCAGCCCGACTTGCTAGCGGAGACGCTGCGCTACGGGTGCCCGCGGAAGCGCGGGGAGGGAGCCACAGCGTAGCCAAACGCGCGCCGCGCCCCTCCGGAGCCCCGGAGCCCGGCCGCCGCGGGCCAGCCGGAACTTTGCGCCTTTCTCTCCCCTCGAGGCTGCCTTCCCTTCCCGCACGGCTCCCGCGCGCCCTGGCCCGGGAGCGCGAGTCCCGCTTTCGCCTAAAACGTACCTGGCCAGGGGACCGAAAATCTTGGAGAAGATCGCGCCGAGCACGTGCTTCAGCGAGTGGCCCAGGGCGGCCAGGCCCCGGGTGAGCAGGGCCCGGCAGAGGGAGCCCAGGTCCCAGCGTCTCCTGAGGTCGTGCATCCGCCTGCGGCGGCCTCGGGCCAGCAGCGCGAAGAGAGGGGCGCGCGCGGCTCCCGCCAGAGAGGAAGAAGCCTTTAGGGGTTCGTCCAGGAGCGGCTGGGAGTTGAATCCGCGAGACACACCCCTAGGAGGGCCCGCGCGGACTGAGGCGGCGACTGATCCGGGCCGGCTTGCTGCCAATTCGGCCTCTACTCTGGAATGCCGGCGGGGACAGGTGGTGCGGGCGGGCGCTTCTCGCTCCGGTTGCAACGGCGGCCCGAGCGCCCGGGCTGCACACGCAGGCAGTGCCATTACCCCCTTGAGGCAACTCAGGGTACTAAGGATCTGGAGCGAGCTTGAATTTATGTAATAATGCCTCACGCCTAAGAGCTCAAACCACTTAACAAGCAGAGGACCTGGGTCTTCTCCTGTCTTGGAGGACGGAGGTCACTCCAGTGAGCACATCAGTACACTCTGGCCTGTAATTTCAACCTCCCCTAAAATAGCAAAGGCGCAAATTGGACCTTTTCCCTCTCTCCTTGCCAATTTCCATTCTACAACGGAAGCGGGGGCATTTTCTGAAAAGGTAAGTCAGCATGAAGGAAAAGCACGACCAAAAAACGTGTCAGAATGGGAATTTGAGCTTTTTTACAGCAGGGACTGGCCTTTACTCCCCCTCCTCTTGCTCAATCCTCAGCACCAAGCCCCGTGCTTACAGGAAGCCTTCACTCATATAAGGTGTATTAAAAGGAACGTACATGACTAAATACTACATCCTAGGGGGGCCATCTAATCCAAGGTGATGTGACAAATGAGGAAACTGAGGCCCAGAGAGGGAAAGGGATGTGCCCCAGGTCACACAGCAGAGCCTCAGCGTTTGAACCCAGGAAGCCATCCATTTCCTAACAGCACCTTTTCTAATAAATAGGTGCAGACCATCCTCAAGCCAAGTGTCCAAAAGGCTCTTTTCAGATGCAGGACCAGCAATGTAAGCATTAGCAAGAAAAGTAGGAATGTCCATTTAGAACAAGGTCCCCAGGACTCGGGGACGGTTCCCATCCGATTGTTCGGGTGGAGCTTGCTGCATACCGGAAACTGGTATTTCCGTGAATGAGTGCCCACCGCTGTCTAGTCCCACCACTGCAGAAGGAGCACGGGGTGGCAGCAGTGTCTCAGAGCAGCGCTGTCTGGGAGGTGGGGGCCGGTGAGATGAGTCCCTCCAGAGACAGCCTCTCCCACGATCTCCCTCAGAACATTTGGGCCCTCACTGAACCCTGCTCCGTCCCTCTTCTATTCTCTCTGCGTAGTGAAGCAGCAAGCGCTGGTCTGGGGATCCTGAGTTTCTGTCATTTCCTTGCTGGGCAGCCCTGGGATAATGACCTGCCCCTCCTGAGCCTCAGGTTCCTCTTCCATAAAATAGGACCAATTCCTCCTTTTTGGCCATCTGGGTCACTGTGAGGATGGCCTTTGGGCAATTCCAAATATGAGGCAGTGTTTACCTGCTGCTCTAAGCTCAGAGGTGCTGACTGAGTCACGGGCCAGTGAAGGCAGGGGCTCTTCTCAGGCGATTTTACAGCTGTGCCCCCTGCCCTTACCTCCCCCACCCCCGCCCCAGATGTCCCCAGTCCTGGCTGGACTTCCATGTGGCCCCCAACCTACCGGGGACAGTGAGAGACCCTTTGTCTGGCTACAGGCATGAGGGATTCTTGAGAAACCTGCATTTCAGGCATTTTACCTGTCCGGAGCATCCTGGGGGGAACACTCTGACTTATACCAAGGAGCCAGATGCAGCAACTTACAAGGTAGACCTCCTGGCTTCCCTGAGAGCTCCCCTGATGCCCCCAGGCTTGTAGGACATGTCTGCAAGGGCAGGTGACGGGAGCCACGAGGGTCCCTCAGGAGCTCAGCCTGCCAGCTGTCCGTACCTTCTCCCAGGCCACCCATTCAACCTCTTTGTTCTCTCCAGTATGTGGCTCTCCTCATGGTGCCATCTGAGGACCCCCCCCCAACCATTACACCATCATAATGACATTCAGTGGATCCCCAGAGAAACACTTCCGGAACAGTGGGTCACACGTTCATGCCCCCAGCGACTAACTCTGGAGTTTCTACTCTAAGAGATATCGGTGGGACTGGAACATGGGGAAGTGCCTTGGGTGGGGGTGGGAGAGTGGTAACCAGTACAGGGAACAATCAGGACTTAGTCATTTGGGTCACGAAGAGGAACACATTCACATACAGTCCGACGCTCAGAGCAAAGGGCAGCAAGGTTGGTGGTTTTGCTCTGTGCAAAGAAGGAACAGGAAGGGGCTGTAAAGTCTGGTTTCTGAGATCAGATATGTCACTAACAATCTAGTGTGAATATATACACCAGCTCACTGGAGGATATTTGCATGTACAAGCCTTTCCTCCACCCTCATGCTATAAGAAAAAGAAAGAAGTGAATCTCTCATGGTGGATTTCATATATCAGGGTTCCTAAAAGTGGGAAGAAACTTTGGGGGGCAGTAGGGGAGCCCACAAGTCTCAGAGGACCCTTCCTGGGGTGAGGAGGCTCCCTGCTAAGAAGAGGGAACTCTTCCTGTGTGTGTCCCAAAGCGCCACGTTCTCCTGAGGCCAGGCCTGGACCTTGGCAGGACGTTCCGAGACCTCTTGCAGCGCTGGGCTAGGCCCACCTCCCAGGAACCGGTTCCTCTCAGGAACTGAATAACAGAGATCCTGATACTCTAGAAATCAGCCCTATTTTGGAGATTGGGGAGGAGGGCAGGAGAGGAAGCAAACTGGCTGAATTGTCAGGTCTGTGGTTTTGCATCTCCTTTCTTAGGGCAGCCTGAGTTGCTGCGTGTCTCTGTGTGTGCGTGTGTGTATACTTGGGATTCAGGACTTGGAAGGTGACGACTCCACAGTCTGATCAGGGCTTCTGGTTGTCTCCACAGTGTGGTGTGCTTTTCATTATTTTTCCGGAACCTTGTCCTTCCATGGTTTCCACAAAACGTTGCCGATTCTGGGAACATAAAGGTCAGGCTGGCTTGCATACTAAGCACTGCGCTCCCAAATATGCATTTGGTTTTGCTGGAGTCTGAGAGGAGAGCAGGAGATGGCTGAGAACGCGCTGGCCTGGGAGTCCAGTGACCTGGCTTCTTGTGTTGACTGCTGCGAATGAGACCCTGTATTGACCCCGAGGAAGATACTTGTTCGCTCTTGGGCTCAGCTTCCCTATTTGTAAGAAGGCAAAGTCGGTGTTGTGCCTTGAAGGGCATTTTCCTGCTCTCACATGGTAAGTCACACACTTTTCTTGTCTTTCTCAGGGCCAAAGTGCTGCCAAACCCTCAGCGCCTTGTTGCAGGTGAGAGCATGGTCCTCCCTGCTTTCTGTGACACATGGCGGGGGGGGGGGGCGCACCGGGCCATCAGCAGCTGGACTTGTTCTGAGCCTATGTGGCAGGGGTAACAGCAGGGTCCCCTGTTCAAATTGAAACAGAAACTGAAAACTCACTGTGGAAGAAAGTGCTGCCATTCTTTATACAGAGCATAAAACACTAAAAAAAAATATGCTTTCCCCTTAGCCTGAGCATTCGCCGCAATGCTGTCTTTCCAGCTGTCGCTAATTTAAAACAAAAAAACGCTCATACTCTCAATTATAGGCGATTTTTGTCACAAAGATTGAAGGCATGCAAAGTATTGAGTCACTTCGTTGCTGGTTTTATGCGTCTCTCCAAACTGAATGAGCAGCAGTGCTTCACGGAAAGCGCTGCTCTGAAATTCGAGCTTTAATATTCTAAACAGGTTGAGTGTGTTATAGACAGCACTCTCAACCACTGTCTATTTTTCCCCCACGAAGCATTGACTTTTATTTGTTTAGCTTTAAAAAAGAAAAGCCATGGGGCTGAAGGAATTAAAAGAGGAGGATGATGCCGGGGTGAAGTGTATGCTGAATGAACGTGTGGTGCAAAGGCAAGAGAAAGAAGCACTGGACCAGGGTTCACGGTCGACTCTGAACATGCAGACCCGTGGCTGCCCTTCTCCTGATGGGAGCTGCCCACCATTTCCCTGACAGTGACACCACCACTTCTCACTGACAGCCAATGGAAGAGTCAGTTCAGGCAGGGCCTTGAAAGCCATGGTGACCCAAGGCCTGGAAACCACCATAGGCAGCAGGTCAGACTCTGCTCCTGTGACAGTCACATCACTTCTTTGGGCCTCAGTCTCCAATCTTAGAAAACAGCCTGACCAGGTACCTTCCAAAAGCTGGCTTAGGGGTATAGTAAAGAGGAAGCCAATCTGAAATGAGTTTTTTTTAAAAAAGGAGAGCGCACAGGCTTGGAGAGCTCATCAGCCTGGGGTTTCATCAGGGTTCTCTGAGCTCCTCCCTCAGAGCCTCAGCTTTCTTATCCGTGAAAATGGGGCTATAACAAGCTCCCTGGGTTGTTGTATGAGTTAACAAAAATAATCTCTGGGGCGCACTCAGTCTAGTTCCTAGAAGGAGTAGACTTGAGGAAATGTTCCTTCTTCTTCCCTTTTGACTCTATCTTTGGTTTGAGCTCTTGGCTGCATTTCCCACAACAGTAACATACACACATTTAATGACAGGTGGCTGGCTTTGCCCCCACCCGTCTTCTTTACCTGCTGTCTTTTCTCACCCTCCCTCCACACCTCTCCAGTGCTCTCCTGGCTGGTGTCCCCTGGAGGAGGAAAGCCTCTGATCTGTTTAATCGCGCCGAGGGGTGGGACATGTCCACGTGACCCCTGGCAGGAGACATCTACAAAAGAGGGGAAAGAGGGCAGTGCTTCTACCAAATGTAAAAATCACTAACTCAAAAAGATATCTATGGAATATTACTCAGCCATAAAAAGGAACGAAACTGAGTTATTTGTAATGAGGTGGATGGACCTAGAGTCTGTCATACAGAATGAAGTAAGTCAGAAAGAGAAAGACAAATACCGTATGCTAACACATATATATGGAATCTAAAAACAATGGTTCTGAAGAAACTAGGGGCAGGACAAGAATAAAGATGGAGATGTAGAGAATGGACTTGAGGACACAGGGAGGGGAAGGGTAAGCTGGGAAGAAGTGAGAGAGTGGCATGGACATATATACACTACCAAACGTAAGGTAGATAGCTAGTGGGAAGCAGCCGCATAGCACAGGGAGAGCAGCTTGGTGTTTTCTGACCGCCTGGAGGGGTGGGATAGGGAGGGTAGGAGGGAGGGAGACGCAAGAGGGAAGAGATATGGGAACATATGTATATGTATAGCTGATTCACTTTGTTATAAAGCAGAAACTAACACACCATTGTAAAGCAATTATACTCCAATAAAGATGTTAAAATAAATAATAAATTTTTTTTAAAAAGAGGGCAGTGCATTACCCCAGTGAATGATCCCCACCATAAGACACGATGAAAGATGCATAACAGGCCAGTGGAGGAGATGCTTGGGGAGCTGAGGTGGAGTAGAGTCAAGGGTTACAAGAATGTGCAGAACTTACAGGGCCAGCCCCACTGTCAATTATTGACACTAATTTTCAACTCCGTTCACTTCAAAAGTTAATGGTCGATCTGGCCAGAGCAGTTTCGACTTGTTCAGCTGAGCAAACCACAGCGGTCAGACTGAAAAACACAGTCAGTTTTGTGTTCGATCTGTATGAGCCAGAGCTGGGGCCGCCAACACCCATTCACCGTGGCCGAGTAAAAAGAGCGCCAAGCCAGAGCCCAAGAAAACAATGTTAGAGTCTCAGTTCTGCCGCCAGCTCACCGTGTGACCCTGGGCTAGTCTCTTGACGTCTCTGGGATTTAGCTGCTGACCTTGGTAAACCGAGGGCCTGCATTAGATGACGCTGAAGGCCCATCCCAGCAGGCACTTGCTGTGATCTAAGCTACGCCAGCTACTAAAAGAGCTGAGGAGGGGCCCCACTTTGTGTGGGCAAAAATGCACTACCGAAGATGACCCTCCAGCTAGTGGCTGAGTCTGAAAAGCAAAAGGAGAACTTTCATAAGAAGCAAACTTTCTTAGAGCAGTGGGTAAGAAAGAAACTTGAAAATAAGCCTTCCGGGCTTCTACCGACTTAGAAGGTGAAGTCAAAACTGAAGGACTGGAGTTACCGCCTTTCTGTCTTCAGCTTCACGATGCTTCCCTTGGCCAAAAACGCACTAAATCGTCTCGGAGTTCGAAGCATTTGGCAAACAATGGCAAGGCAGAACCACCAGAAGCGGGCACCTGATTTCCATGACGAATATGGTAATGCTGTATTAGCCAGTGCAGCCACTTTCCACGTTGCTGTATGGGCGTATACAGCAACACAAATTGGAATAGAATGGAACCTGTCCCCTGTTTGCAGAGTCACCCCAAAGGAATGGAGAGAACACTAATCATCCCAGCTGGTTTCATACTGAATTGTTTCAAAATCAACTCATAATTGATGCCAAGTAAAAAGCATTATGTACCCATTAACATATGGCGTGATTGTAGAAACAAAGTACACTTGAAAACTTAAAAAAAAAAGAACTGAAGGACTGGGACTTCCCTGGTGGTGCAGTGGTTAAGAATCCTCCTGCCAATGCAGGGGACACTGGTTCAAGCCCTGGTCCGGGAAGATCCCACATGCCACGGAGCAACTAAGCCCGTGCACCACAACTACTGAGCCTGCACTCCAGAGCCCGCGAGCCACAACTACTGAGCCCCCATGCTACAACTACTGAAGCCCACGCACCTAGAGCCCGTGCTCCGCAACAAGAGAAGCCACTGCAGTGAGAAGCCCGCACACTGCAACTAGAGAAAGCTCGCGCACAGCAACAAAGCCCCAATGCAGCCAAAAATAAATAAATAAGTAAATTTATATTTTAAAAAAACTGAAGGACTGGGGAAAAGTGTTGAGAAGTGACCTCCAGCTGACACAAAAGCCCTAGGTGGTTTTAATAATGCTAATAACTAAACCAAGAATGGCCTTGCCTGGTCCACAGCGTCCCACTTGTTCGCCTACTCTGGGGTTTTTGCAAGACAGAAGCACACCCATTGCTGATCTGACTGGTCTCCGTGGGAGTTCCAGTTTTGAATAATAAAATACAAAAGCTGAAAATTATATCTCAGAGCAACGCAAAGGATTTGGAGGAAGCTAGCCTTGAGGCCAAAATGGCTCCCAGGAAAAGGATTTCTTTGTTACTCAAATGGGCTTGAAGGGGAATGTTTTAGAAGAACCACCCAGGAAAAGAGAAAATTAATTTAGAGAAATCATACATGTCACAGACTAAATGAAAATTAATTTTTAATCAGAGCGAGCCAGACTAGACTTAACTGGGCTTGAGAGCAAAACCTGGAAAAGGACTTACTTTTTTACGTACACATTTTCAAAATCCACATTTCGCCAAAAGGCCTGAGAATGCAGAAAGCTACAACATTAGAGCCGCAGGGGAAAATGAACTTGGTAAAAGACACGCTGAACGTTCATCTCCACCGAAGAAAGTTGCCTCAGTGGGTACCATCTTGTGAAAGATTTAGCTGATGCAGAAGACAATATTCAAGTCCCCAGTGAGAAGAGTTGATAGGAATGAATGAAGGGTGAGAATTGTAATGGGGGGGCGGTTGAGGGGAGGGCAACATTTTGTCAAGGATGCTCCAGTGCTCTGCACCATGGTCATGTCATGGCCATGGTCATGTCTCCTGCAGGCTGACTCCAGAATGTTTAGCAAACTATGCCAGTGAGAGCTCCCGGACTCAACACCTATTATGTTTCAAGCACTTGGCTAAACACTTTACATGCTCTCTTTTAATTAACATGCTCAGCAGCCCAATGAAGTGGTTACTTCTGTTGTACTTATTTTACAGATGAGTAAACTGGGTTTTACAGAGTTACAGCTACCCAGCTAGGAAGTAGTAGAGCTGTGACTTGAACCCAAATCTGTCAAACTCCACAGTGACTCCGCTGCCCCAGTGATCCTCATCCAGCTCCAAGAGTGTGAGATATCACGTCCCCAAATGGGATATCAAGAGACTTAGATAGGGGCTTCCCTGGTGGCGCAGTGGTTGGGAGTCCGCCTGCCGATGCAGGGGACGCGGGTTCGTGCCCCGGTCCGGGAAGATCCCACATGCCGCGGAGCGCAAAAAAAAAAAAAAGAGAGAGACTTAGATAGTCCTCATCCTAGGCAGGAGAGCTGGGCGGAGAGAGATCATGGTGTGTGGGTGTGTGTGTGTGCACGCACGCACGCGCGCGCACGCACACGCACGCACACACGTTTGTCCATGCGCCTGCTCTGAGAGCACTGAAGGAGATGGAGGGTAGGGGCTCAGAGTCTGAATTTTAGTAAAGAGGGAAGCAGAGATGGAGACACTGCGAACTGGGTAACTCAACGTGCACACAACCTTGGGACGTCACCCACTATCAGGTTATCTGATAGTGTTATTTTTTGGAAGTGTCATAAGCAACTCTGTCCACTCCACTATGCAATAACCTTCTGGAAGGCTGGGACCTTAGCTTCTTCATTTTTAAAACTTCTCCATAGCTCCCAATAGCAATAATATTTGGTCTAAGGCTTCTCAGTTGACCAAATACTTTCACAGACACTGACTGGACCTTCGTAACAACTCAGCGAGGCAGCCGTCGTTGTTCTCACTTCATCTGTGTGGAAAATGGTGTGCCTTAGGGCCGAAGGAACTTGGTCAAGGGCACACAGCTGGTACGGAGTTGCCACTGCTGAGCACCCCCTTGATCCACCCAAGCACACATGCCAACATGAGGTAATGCCCAGGCACCTCACAAAGGATCTAGCTCAGAGTAGGGCTCAAGAGATGTTAGTTTTCCCCTTACTTGACAATATATGGTTTTAAAATGTTTTCTTTGCACTAACTATATCCTACTGGGTACCCCAGTATCTTCAACAGAGACTGGTCCACGTTCTCAGAGAGCTTACCACTGATGTAAGAAAATACAGCCAACGTGTGTGAACCTGAGGACAGTGAGCCGCTGACTAATCTGTGACACAGGCTCTAATGCAGTGAAAGCTCTGAGGACGCTCCACAGTGGGCTGGAACGGTCAGAGGTTTCCTAGCAAACATCAGGGGGAAAGGCCTGGAAAAGCCGATCGATCCACTCTCCCCTCCTTTTTGTCTGCATCCCAGAAAGAGGAACTTTTGCTGATAGAAACTGTTTTGATCGCCTTTCCTTGTGCCCAGTGACCCAGTCCCTTCCTTGTCAATGAGGTTGTATGAAAAGTGTCTTAGCTCCAGAAGATGTGGTACATATACACAATGGAATACCACTCAGCCATAAAGAAGAATGAAATAATGCCATATGTACCAACATGGATGGACCTAGAGATTATCATACTAAGTGAAGTAAGTCAGAAAGAGAAAGACAAATATCATATGATATCACTTAGATCATATGGAATCTGAAATATGACACAAATGAACTTATTTATGAAACAGACATAGAGAACATACAACATAGAGAACATAGAGAAACGGACATAGAGAACAGACTTGCGGTTGCCAAGTCTGGAGGGGAGAGGGGGTGGGGGAGGGATAGATTGGGAGTTTGGGATTAACAAATGCAAACTATTATAGATAGATAGATGATGATAGATAGATAGATAGATGATAGATAGATAACCGAATCACTTTGTTGTGCCCCAGAAACTAACACAACATTGTAAATCAACTATACTTCAGTAAAATAAAAAAATGTTTTTAAGTGTCCTAGCTCTCCCCAGCTACAAATGCAACCCTCCATCTATGGCACCAAGAGCGTGGCATTGTGGGGTCTTTCATCAAGGGAGCAGTGTGTGACCACACAAGCACCCCACGGTTTGTAGCAACATCCACATCCATTAGAACAAATAGCTTATTTTTTAGACCAAGTCAATAAGCTGCTTTTTCCAGGGAGAAGAGCGAGCGGGACAGACACAGTTCAAGTAAAATAAAAGACACTCAGCATTTCACCCTAAATGTTTCCATAGTTCCAGATCTCGCCAGCGGTTTGGTAGCAAGTCAAAGCAGAAACTGACATTTGGTGTTCCAGAGTCTTCTGGAAGAGAGCCAGATAACGAATTGTCAAATGAACAGTTTCTGGCTCTCTTATCAAGGACAAATCCTACTCCAGCTGAGATGCTAGCAAACTAACAACAACGAGAACAACAGTAATTTGCCAGGATGATGCAAACCCAGAATGCAGGAGAGGCTATTTTCTTTGTTGACTGCGTCTGGAAATATGGCTAGATGTGATTTATCATCTGCATTAGATGCTCTTCTATAACATCCTAAACAGACATTTTATGCTGGATATCAACTGGAAAAATTTTTATTCAACACTAATTTCGTCAAAACCTGGATAGTTGATACAGCCAGATTTTGTCAAATGAGGGAGAATTAGTATGATATAAACTATTCACTATAAAGACATTACTATATTCTCTAAGCCTTCTTTGAGCTCTGTTATACACTAGAGTTTGTGGCCTAATACTTGGATTAAAAGCGGAGAGTAGGATATTCAGGCTGAATTGTGCCTCCCCCCAAGACCCCTGAAACTGATCTGAAATGATAAGGCAGTCCCTCTTAGGAATATTTACAGACTGTTCTTCATGTAAAAGAACGTAAGAAGTCCCCAAAAGCCTAAGAAACCGAGTGCCCTGAGCAGATCCTTTTCCTGCCCTTCATTCTCAAAAGTTCGCTGCAAAGGCTCTGGTCAAGTGCTGCAGGCTGCTCTTTCATCTCCGTAACCTGAGTGCCTTTGCAGAACAGGCTCCCTCTCCGGTATTCAGTGAATTCCGAGTCAAGTCCAGGCTCGAGTCAGCTGCCTCCATTGTAAGTCTTTTGCAGTTCGATGGATGGCTTGGCCCTTATGCCTTGAGGATTGGAATCTCCTGGGCAGGGATAGGATTTCACTTTCCATGTCTACAGTGCTTGCACCAAGTTTATTAATATAGTCTATACAGGGTGATCATATTGAGAGCAAGCTGGAATCCACATCACAGGGCCTGTGGCTTGAAGCTAGGCTGAGCCGAGCCCCCAGGAGGAGACTGAGTCACCCTAAGCATCCAGTCACCCTGGGGAATTTTAAGAATTCAATATCAAGTCCAAGTCAATCCTGTCTAAGACACTGTGTCTTTCCTTCTATATCAGCCCCACTCTCCCAGACATCTCACTCATGCCTGGAGGTGCACTTCACCGTGTAAGGGGGAAGAAAGTAATCTGGGAAACACCTCAGGTGTTACCTCCACGGAGGAGTTAGGGACTCAGATGAATCATAATGAATGGATGAATGAATGATTGAATGAATTCATTCATAATGAATGAATGAATGAATGAATCATAATACAGTGACGTATCCCAGCCTAAGAATCAATAAGACCATGGGAGGAGCTGGCAACTATAGCGGAAAGAACACACTTTCTGGAGTCAGACCAGCATTTGGATCTCCATCTGACTCCTTACTAGCTGTCTGGCCTCAGGCAAACACTTAGCCTTCCAGGGCCTCAGTTTCCTCCTCTGTACAATGGGGATGATCCTAATCA